CCAAGGACCTTTCTCCAGAGACAGTGCTCTGAATTTGGACTTCCCGACTCCTAAACTATGATAGAATAATTTTTAATTTGTTAAATCCATCCACTTTATGGCATTTCTGCTATAGTATCCTGGTGTGGCACAGTGGGTTAATGCACCAGATTGCAAAGCCGTTTGCGCTGCAAAGTTGGCGTTTCAAGCTCACCAGCTGCTCCTCAGAAACCCTATACAGGGCCGCTATGGGTTGGAATCAATGGCACTTAACAACAACATCACTAGATAATTAAGGTAGAATTCATTACCAAGAGTGAGATGCTGCTCTACCAGATACCTAAAATATGGAAGTGGTTTTGGAATTGGAGAATGAGCAGAGAGTGCAATAGCACTATCTGCCCAATACTGAAAGCCCAGATTGACCGTGAAGGTCTGTTAGTGGAATTATAGATATCAAAGGCTATTTTGATGAGAGTTCAGAAGGAAGTGAGGAGAACTGTAACACTGGAAATGACACAGATGGTGAGAAGACGCGGTAGAGGAAATGTAGCAGCAGAACCAGAAGACTGACACAAAATGGCATGGAAGCTAACCCACAGAGTAAGAGAAGTGAACACCTTCATGCAACAGGCTTCCTGGTGGAGTGGGGTGCCTCTAGGCACTTGTTAATAAAGTTAGGCTCTCTGACCCACAAATCGAGAAAGTTGAGCACTTTCTGGCCAAACTTTACAGGTGGAATGGAGTGTCCCTGGGCACTTATCCATAGATCTGAAGAGCTTTGTGACACATGTATGAGCAAAACAGAGACCAAGGTGGTCTCTTCTAGAGATGAAAGAACCAGGAAGCAGAAGTAGAAGAGACCAGGAGCATGGGAAGCAGAGCTGCCTCAGTCTCTGGGGTTTCTAAGGATGGGGCCACAGTTTCCTAAATCTCAAAGACTTGGTGTCTTCATCAACTCAGTACCAGAATGTTGGGCTAGCATTAAGATGGAGCTTCTTCCTAAAGCTAAGGGCACAGGGCTGCCATACCCAAGGGAGTAGAAGAATAGGGCCTGCTGGAGCCAAAGGGGTAGGGTCACCAGTCAGATGAAATAGGAGAATGGGTCTTCCAAAGCCAAAGGAGCAGAGCTGCCATTCTAGCAGGCATGGAAGGGAAGAACTGAAGGCCAGGATAGAGGGGAATTTCTTAGAAATCCAGAGTCTAGAGAACAGGGCCATTGCTTAGATGGTTTCAGAGAACAGAGGATCATTTTCAAGCCTTCAGAGCTAATGTAAACTTGTCTGCTGGATTTTTAACTTGCTTTGTGCCTGTTATCCCTTCTTTCCCTCTACCCCCTTTTCCCTCCAATTGCTCCCATTTATAATGGAAATGCTTATCTCTTGTGGGTTCCACCATCATATTTGGAAGTACACAACTTATATTCTAGATTCACAGATAAAAAGGAATTTTGTCCCGGGTTGAAATTTGTCCTTGAAATAATTTTGTGATAATATAATGGGGTTAGTGCATTCTTGGTTGTACATGTTAGTGGCATTATGTTAGAAACTTTAAGGTTGTCTTTATTTAGAGATTATGCATTGATTAAGGAGATATGGACAAGTACCAAGTTGACAAGGGGTGGACTCTGACAGTTAAGGTTTTGTGTGTTCCAACTTCAGATGTCTAGCCTCCTAAATTGTAAGAGAGTAAATTTCTATTTGTTAAAGCCATGCACTTGTGGTATGTATATTATAACAGCACTAGATAACTAAGACACTCATATATAAGCATTTGAGACATTTTTATGCTACATGTTGACTCCTTAGGCTCAGGAGAAGTGCTGCCATTTTCTGTTTGCCTGTGAGCCAGGCTGCATGTATCCTGAGATGCAGAGTCTCTTGCCAAGTCTCTTCAGAGCACCCTTAACCTCCTGGTTCCTCAGACTGTAGATTAGCGGGTTCAGCATAGGGGTAACTACCGTGTAGAAAATGGCGACCTGGCGATCCTGGTCCAAATCATAGCTGGAGGATGGTCGAAGGTACATGCGGATCACAGAGCCATACAGAAGCAGCACAACCAGGATATGAGAACTACAAGTGGACAAGGTTTTACGCAAGGCAGCAACCGAGTGCATGCTGGCTATGGCAACACCAATGCGTACGTAGGAGCCCAAGATGAAGAAGAAAGGGCTAACTACCACAGCTACACCCTCGGTGAAGATGAGCATCTCATTGACCACTGGCCTAGTGCAGGATAACTGCAATAGGGGTGTGATATCACAGAAGAAGTGGGTGACTTGGTTGCCACAGAAGGTTAAGCGGGTGACCAGCACACTATAAAGGAGACTGTTGAGGCTGACAATAACCCATGAGGTTAAAGTTATGCGCAGACAGAGGTGGCGACTGACAATGGCAGTGTATCTTAAAGGATCACAGATGGCAACATAGCGGTCATAGGCCATAGCAGCCAGCAGATGACCTTCCATACTGCCCACAGTCATAAAGAAAAACAACTGAGCCATGCAGCGGTTAAAAGAAATAGTTCGATTCACAGATAGTGTATGCACCAGCATCTGGGGCACAGTGATGGTTGTTAGAAATATATCAATAAAAGAAAGCTGGCTAAGAAGAAAATACATAGGTGTCTGAAGCTTGGTGTCCGAGTAGACAACGATTACTAATAGGGTATTGCCAATAACTGCCACCAGGTACATGGCAAGGACAATCCCAAAAATAACTGGCTGCAGCTCTGGCCAGCTGGACAGACCCAACAAGATGAAGTCAGTCACTTCTGTCCTGTTCCCTGTGGCCATAAGATACAATCCAAATCACCTGCTAAGAAGAAAATTAGGATCAAATTATGCTATAAAACAGTTTATGGGAAACATCTTGTCTTTTCTTTTCTTTTTTGATCTAAATGCTCCTAGATTTCAAAAGTTGTTAGTTAGTTTGTTTTTTAATGTTTCTACCAGGTCATTGTCTTTCTGTTCACCCACTCACCCAGTCCTTCATTTATTCCAGGTTCATTTATTCAGTATTGAAAAAAACAAAAGCAGTTGCTGTTGAGTTGACTTTGACTCATGGCATCCCAATATCAGAGTAGAATGTGCTCCAAAATTCAGTGGTTGCATTTTCCAAAGTAGATATCAAAGCCTTTCTTCTGAGATGTCTCTGGGTGAACTTCAAAGTTCCAATCTTTCAGTTAATAGACAAGCACATTAACTATTTCCACCATGCAGGGACTCCCTTCAGCACTTACAATCTTTCAATTTAAAAAATGCTGTTAAATAGCTTCTGGCCTTGTCTTTTCTGGTTCTCATGCTCATTTTTAACACATATTCAAGTAACTATCTCAGAATGGAGTAGTGGGAAATAAACTCTCTGAGTCTTGGCTTGTCTAAAAATATTTTCGTTTTTCACTCACACTTGATTACTAAGGACATTATTACTTTGCTTCCTTTCACCTACCATTGTCGATAAGAGTCTGATGCCAGTCTGATTCTTACTCTTTTCAGGTGTTATTCTTTCTGGTATCTCTAAAGTGAATAAAGATGTTGAATAATATAGTTTCTTTATAATTCTATGATAAACATAACAGATCAGGTCTACTAAGATATAGGCCCATCTTCAATTCTAAAAAATTTTCTTGTATAATTTATTTGATTATATACTCCCTTAATGTCTTCTCTTCCATTTTTTTTGGAAGAACTACTAATTAGATATTAAGTAATAGAATATTAAGCTAATTACATTAATTTTCTGGAAGAACAATGCTCAAATAATAAATTCCTAATTTATAGGAACTCCTGTGGTTAGGATATTAATCCTTTGATTCATTAGCTCTCTTTTATTCTTTTTATCTGTCTAGGTCTTGAAGTATTTGTGATTTGTCATTGATATTTCTCTTATTTTGTATTCATAAGTTTAATTTATCTCTTTCTTGCCTTGTTTTTCCTTTACCACAGTGTCCCTTACTTGTATCATGGATGCAAATTTCTCTCATCAAAACTACAGTGAGATATTACTTCACATCCACTAAGAAGGCTATGCAAAAAAAAACAAAAACGAAAACCAAAATACAACAGGTGTGGTGAGGATGTGGAGAAGCTGGAACTCTCATCTACTGCTTATGGCTGTGATACAGCCACTGTGAAAACCAGTATGGGGTTCCTCGAAAAGTTAAAGATAGCATTATCATGTGATCCAGTAACTACCCTTCTAAGTGCATATTCAAAGAAGCAGAAACACAAACAGATAAATGTACACCAATGTTCAGTACAGCACTTTTCATGTAGCAAAAAAGATAGAAACAACCTAAATGTCCATCCACAGATGAATGGACAAACATACATATAAAGGAATATTGTTATTGCCATTAAGTACCGTGGAGTTGGTTCCGACTCATAGTGACTCTGCACAGGGTTTCCAAAGGTGCAAATCTTTACAGGAGCAGAAAGCCTCATCTTTCTCCCACAGAACACCTGGTAGTTTCGAACTGCAGACCTTGAGGTGAGCAGCCCGATTCGTAACCACTATGCTACCAGAGTACATAATCAAATAAATGATACAAGAATACCAGAATATTACAAAGCCATAAAAACAACTGTTGTGTTATGACATGGGAGAACCTTGAAAACATGCTGAGCCAATCACAAAACACAAATACTATGTCATTTCACTTATATACAAACTTAAGTTCATTAGTGGTTATCAGTAGAAACATAAAAGGGAGTGATAGGCAGGGACTCACCTAGGATACAATGAGCTTCTGTTAAGGGTGACGAAAATTTTTGGAAAAAAGCAATGGTGATTATTGCACAACATGATGGATATATAACACTGAATCATACCTGTGAAGAATATTGGAGTGGTAAATGTTTGGCTTCATACATATTTTTCACAATAAAAATATAGTATGTTAAATAAGCAATTAGATAGAAACAAGCCAACAAAAATATTAAATGTTAAGTTTTTCCCCTATATTGGGTTCAGGAGTCATGATGTGGCACTGTGGGCTAATGCGTCAGACTGCAAAATCATTTGAATTGCAAGATCAGTGGTTCAAGCTCACCAGCTGCTCCTTGGAAACCCTATACAGGGTCGCTATGGGTCAGAACTGACTTGATGGCACTTAACAACAACAACATATTGGGTTCAAGGAAAAGGGCTACTACTAGGTTATTATGGTTTGATTTTTCTTAGCTTTTCCAGAAGAGAAAAAATTATATCTTAATCAATGAGTGTACCAAGCACTAGACAGTCATATTTGTGGGCCTGCCAGAATAGAAAACTACCTCAATAAAGAGCAAACTCTGTTTTCAAGATATTTTCTTAGTGCATTCTTTAAAGACTGTTCCTGAATCTGGAGCTTAAAAGAGGAAGAAAACTTACATTTTCCAAGGTCTGTTTCTCTTCCCATATTTTTCTGTGTCCGTGGATATGGCCCAAACTCTATGCTTTTATGATCTCATTACACATTTAAGGCAGTGGTTACCAATGCAGGTAATAGAGTTTGGTAATGCAAGTAATGCAAGCATAGAGTTTGGGCCATATCCACGGACACAGAAAAATATGGGAAGAGAAACAGACCTTGGAAAATGTAAGTTTTCTTCCTCTTTTAAGCTCCAGATTCAGGTACAGTAAGGAGCTCTGGTAGCGTAGTGGTTACGACTCGGGCTGTGAACTGCAAGGTCAGCAGTTCGAAACTACCAGCTGCTCCGCGGGAGAAAGATGAGGCTTTCTACTCCCGTAAAGATTTACACCCTCGGAAACCCTGTACAGGGTTGCTATGAGTCGGTTCCGACTCCACGGCACATAACAACAACAACAACAACAACAACCAATGCAAGTATGGGTGACAGACAAGAATAGATGTAAAGCAAGAGAAATGAAGTAAGTCTCTTTAGGGGAAAAGGGTGGAAGAAAAAGGTCTTCAAGAAGGGAAACGTGACAGGATCTACTGATTTATGTAAGGTAATAATAGATATAAATTATTTCAATAAATTAAAATTTATCTAAAATGCAATAACATCGAGAGTCCATTTTCTTCTTAGTGTATCAAAACTGTGTTTTAAAATTAATTACAAACAGTAGAAATGTTCTTTTCTCTATCTATTCTTCAAATCTGAACACTGCTCCCTCAGAGATAGAGTTCTGAGGACCATGTTCAGGGAAATTTGAAACATCAAGGATGCTGATTCTAGGGCAAAACTTGAGAGAAAAGTAGTACTTTTTAGGGGCGATATGAAGATACACACGTAAACAGTACTTGAACAACTTAAAACACTAAGTTAAACTGAAATATGGAAGAAGAAAAGAAAAAAAAAAAAAAAACGTGGAAAGGACAGAAAAACATCACCAGTTACTATCTGGTGCTTCAAGGACATCTGGAGCCAGATGTCTTACTTGAATTTCCTTTTTGATTAAAGAACAAATATTGTAGATCTTTACTAATATCAATAACTACATGTTAGGAATATTCTGTATTTAATGCCTTTTTTAATCTAAATTCTATTTCTACTCTGTTTCCTCTCTTGAGTTGATGAGCCACAGAGGTTGAATATCATATATGCAAATCCAAACCTCCTTTTTGCTGTCTCTAAATCAGAGTCTCAGAAAACCTGTACAGGGTCACTGTGAGTCAGAACCGACTTCATGGCACAGAACAACACAACAAAATCAGATCTTCTAAATTCTAACAAAATACGTTAGGTTCTTTGTAACACATTTCTAGCATCTTGGGGCTATAAGATATCTCTCCAAAATCTCTATAATTTTATGACTGTATTATTATCCAACACAGTTTTCATTTATCTACTCAAAAAAAAAGTTGTAATACACAAGCCCTCCATCCCATTGTTTCCTTCCTTTGACCATGACATTTAGACCTCATTCTTTTCTCTTTAGTCTTCTTTGTATTAATATCACGTTTTCTGCAAGAAGATTATGATGATTAGTTTTTATTTACTATTAGGACAGATGTACCTACTCTCACCTTCCCTTTGTATCTAACATCATACAAACAAGTAGAACATTTGGGTAGAGCTATGCTTCTTCATTCCACATTCTCACAAAATTAGGGATCCTCTTTTTGACACCTTTCAAAAAAAGCCTTTCTAAGAGGGAAGTTCACCCCAATGAAGCAACCTCACTTATATGCACTCACTCTGGGACACTACTAATCCCAGAAGGCTACAATTGTGTTCAGAAGAAATACTAATTAGACTTCGGCTGAGCCCTTCCACTTTCCCTTATCAGCTGGGACTATGTCTTAGGCACTTGTTCCTCTCCTGCTTTACACCTAGGTCTCACTAAGGTAAAGACCATGGAACTTCTGAAAACAACTGTGCCTGTAGGGAAGGTCTATCCTTTGGGGGACACCATAGTCTTCTACAATACAACAACCAGGCATGGAGAAACCTCAAGGGGAAACTGGTTCCCAGTTCATTTTCTCAATAAACCGTATTTCCTAATATTTCTTTCCTGTAATGATTACTTGTAATAAACATAACTGGAATCCTTGTGTGGTACTGTAGGATCTGTACTGGACTGCAAATCACAAAGTTGGCAATTCAAACCCACCAGCTGCTCCGGAAGCCTTATACAGGGTCACTATGCATTGAAACAAACTCATCGGCACTTAATAACAACATAAACATCTTAATTCAGCTAAATTAGGTGCAAGACGTGGAAGGCAATTCTGACAGCTGTTAAGCTGTAGTTATCTTCTGATCACTTTATCATTTCCTGCCCTCACACAGTTACAACCATTGCTGGCTTTCCTCTAGCCATTTGTTATCTGTTTTAGAACAAT